GGGGGGGGGGGGGGGGGGGGGGGGGGGGGGGGAGGAGCGGCACAGGAGATCACAGTGAGACAGAGATGACAGCAGGGAGGGAGACAGAGGGACGCGGATTAGAACAAAGGCTGCCTCAGTAGACTCCTGCCCACTCTGCCCCTGGCTGTGGCTCCTCACCCTGGGAATCCTACCCACCCAGCACCCGTTATCAAACAAGCTCCCAGCACCCCTTCCCTACTGCAGGCTATTTCAGGCCTGGAATCCGGTGCAGTGGCCTCATGGGAGCCTCAATTTATCAAACCAGACTTTTGAAAGACATCCGGAAACCCAGGAACTGAACCTCACGGGGGAAGAGGACCACACACAGCTGTGTGGATCAGGGCAAAGGCATTCGAGTTATAGGGTCACCTGTATTCGGACCTCAAGCTGGCCCTCATTCCCAGCCTCAGCTTCCTCGCTTGTAAGATGGAGATAGAATCTATTCAGTAAGCACTTGGTCAGTTACTGCACGCCACCTGAGTGCCACCTGCGGCTGAAGACCAAGCCATCAAGAGGAAATGGCTGGCCTTTCTACGGTGCCTCTGGCAGAAGCAGTCAGCAGGCTGACAGGTCACCACCAGCAGCCTCCCACATCACACTCCAGAAGGGAAAACTGACGCTCAAAAAGGACTGGGGTTAACAGCACTGGAACCCACTGCTCAGAGGCCAGTAAGAGTTTCGTTTTGTTGGCTTGTTTTGTTTGTTTGTTTGGGGGGGGGGGGGTTGCTGGGAACCGAACCCAGGGCCTAGCCCGTTCCAGGCAAACACTCTACCAATGAACCACACCTTCACTCCTACAGCCTACGCCACCCTACTTTTTGGGGGGACAGGGTCTCACTACGTAGCCCTAGCTGCCTGTAACAAGCAGACCAGGCTGGCCTGAAGCTCAAGAGATCCAACTACTGGGTTAAGGGTGTGAGCCACCACTCCGTGGCTCAGTTCGCTCTTTTTCCTGTACACGATGTGAGGTCCATTCACAAGACACCCCCAGACCTCCCAACAGCGAGCACAGCATCCCAGACTACCCAAAGCCGGCAGGACCGCCTCCAGCCTTCCCCAACCAGCGCCAGACAGGGAAAGGCGAAACTGCCTGTCAGCAGGTGAAGGTCCCCAGAGAAACCTGACGCCACCCCACCCCTCCCCTCAGCGCTGAGTCAGTGCTCAAAGAGGACCCGGTGAGCCGCCTCAGACGCAGGATGCGGGGAACCCGGCTCGAGGCCGCTATCTCCATCCCGCCCACTTGGAAATCCCTCCCTGTGAGGGGTCTGGCGTGCAGTCACCGTTCTCAGCCACCAGCCCCTGGTAGAGAAGCTGAGGGGTAAAGAAAGGGGGAGGGGGGTTACACTGGCCCAAAGGGCCAGGAGCCCGGGAAGGGGGAAGGACGGTAGTCACCGGGACTTACCAATACACGACTCGAACGGCAAGCGCCATTGCCCGTGACCGCATCCCCGCACAGGGCAAGGACGCGAACCACAAGCAACTCGGGGTCTGCGCTAGAGGCCGTGCGCACAGCCCGACTACCTCAGAAGGAGGAGCAAACCAAGTCCGCAGGGGGGGAGCATGGTGACGCGGGGGCCATGGTTCTGGGGCGAGGCGGGAGATGTGGGCACAGCCGCAACCCCTATGCAGAATTCTGAGCTGTTCTCTTGATATCCCGGGCTGGTCTCCATAGACTGGCGTCCCTGGGACCAGTAACCGGACAGCTTTTCGCTGACCTTCCTCCGTGCTATAATGGTTCAGCCCTCAGGGCAGTGGTTCGAAGCAGAGAATTGGCTGAGACTGAACTTCAGTTACCGTGTGGCTGGGCGGGGCTGAGAAACGAAATTGAGGCACAAACGCGTGCGCCCTACCCTTCTCGGAAGACAGGTAATTGGGGTGGGTCCTCCAGCCCTGATTCAAGGTCCGTGGACCTTAGTTCGGAAAAAGTGAAGCTGGGAGTCCCAGCATGTGCTTCAGGCCCACCTCTCTCATCATAGCCTGGCAGCCGGACCCCCCAGAGCACCCCAAAAACGTTCAGCCCTCTTTTTGCGACTTCCCGCCGACCCCCAGCAGAAAGGACCATAGAAAATCCTGGAATGGCGCTTGGACTGTAGATCAGTTGCTAGAGAACCTCCCTACCATGTATGAAGCTCTCGGTCGGATCCCCAGTACCCCATAAATTGGGGGTGGTGGCACAAGCCTGTAGTTCCAACATTTGGAAAGAGAAGACTGAAGGATTATGAGTTCAAGGTTATCTTTGCTACATAGGGAGTTTAAGGCTAGTCTGGGCTACATGAGCAGTTCCCTTCAAAACAAAAAAGCCAAATGCTGCCTTTAATGCCAGCAGTCAAGAAATCTGTGCCAGTTCAAGGCCAGCCTAGTCTACTAAGAGAGTTCCAGGACAGACAGTTCTACATAGAGAGACCATCTCAAAAATAAATAAACAAAAAAGACAAAAGAAAAATAAAAGTGAACAAATGATTTAAGGGTTTAGGATTCCCGAGCCCCAGTTTCTCCTCCTGGAAGCTGGGCAGGTTCCATAGCAGGAGATATTCATTCACACAGAAATGATGTATTTGCTATCTAGTTTCTTGTCCTCCACGCCCTATGGACAGCATAGCATGTCCACCCTCCCACCCCAGGAGGACGGCATTCCCGAACCTACACTGAGGATGGCTCACCAGGAGAAATGTTTATCTGCCACCTGACAGTGTTTAACTGACTCCCTGGTCACCCCTAACAATGGTCAGCTACCGGCCAAATGAGAAAATGTCAGTTTCCTTCCCCCCAGGATCCCAGCCTGCAGAAGGTGGGCTCTGGTTCCCCTACAGAAGAATGGGATTTGACCATTCTTTCCCTCCTTGATCTCACAGGATGTGAGATGGTGTGTGCTCTGGGGAGAACGAACGCAGTGACGATAGCCAGGAGCCTCCTCTGTCTGCACTGGGCATCAACAGGCTGAGCCTGGTGTCCCATCCTCTGTCTGCAGCCCCTGGACCTGTGAGCTCAGCCTGAAAAGGAATAATGAGCCAGTCTTGGAGAACAATGAACACAGAGCTGAGTCAAGTGTGAACGTTTCATAGCTCAAGTTCTCCTGTGGTTCCCAACATCCTTGGAACAAAATCCCAAACCTTTGCTTGACCCATCCGGGGTACTTGGTCCTGTAGGCCCCTCTGACCCTTTCACCCAATGCCCTAGTGACAGGGACCACTGAGCTGCTCACAGGGTCCTCAGCCTTTGCACATGCTGGTTGAACCTTCTCACTCCTGCTTCTCCTCCAAGAATCAGCTGCAACACGGAGGGAAAACCTTTCTTTCTGGGAAAGTCTGCCTTGTGTACAACACAGCTGTGCCCATTCGCTTGCTCTTACAGAGTGCTCTAACCCCAGCAGCTTCCACGGCAGACATGCCCTGTCCTATGCTCCTGGAGGCCAGAAATCTGAACAAAGCAGCTGCAGGATGGTGACACTGAGCACTGACACACTCGGGTGTCACTTCTGGCGGTCACTGGCCACCTTTGGAGCTGCCCGCCTTGTAGACAAATTACTTTCAGGCTAAAGCGATGACTCCGTGCTGAAGAGTTCTGGCTACTCTTGTAGGTTCAGCTCCTAGGTTCAGCTCACAGCCTCCACGTGCAGCTCACAAACCCCCTGCAACTGCAGTTCCAAGAAATCTGACACCCTCTTCTGGCCTCTGAGAGCGCATGAACTCACCCAGCCAGGCACATGTGTGCACACGCGCGCTCTCTCTCTCTCTCACGAACTCACCCAGCCAGGCACATGTGTGCACATGCTCTCTCTCACACACACATATGAGAGAGAGCTAAATAAACTAACAGAATTATCTAATGTCTGTCTTCACTGTCTTTGTCCATACTCTAATCATCTTATTAAAAATGTTATTGCATTTTTGGGACCAGGTGTGGTGGCACAGGCCTTTAGTCCTGGCACTCGGGAGGCAGACAGGGGGACCTCCATGAGTCTGAAGACAGCCTGGTCTATATGATGAGCTTTAGCACAGCCAGGGCTAGGTAGAGCCCTGTCTCAAAAAAAAAAAAAAAAAAAAAATTAATTGAAATTTATTTATTCTGTGTATATGTGTGAGCCTGAGTATGAAGGCCAGAGGAGAGCTAGCAGAAATCTGTTCCTTTTATCTCTTTCTTTTGGATATTAGACACAGCCCAGGCATTTTGGGCTTCCTCACTCTTTCTCTAACACACACACACACACACACACACACACACACACACACACCTTGCCAGCTGTCTGTCTGTGTGGCAGCTAACAGAGAGCAGTGGCTTTCTCTCTTTCCTCTATCTTCCTCCTCAGGGTAGCTGCTTGGATTTCCAGTTTGCCTGGCCTGTTGTTCTACTTACTTTTAAGTTGTAATAAATCATCCTTGAGGGGTGGAGAGATGGCTCAGAGGTTAAGAACACTGGTTCAACAGCGTTCAGCCTCAACCTACAGGTCCTGAGTTCAATTCCCAGCAACCACATGGTGGCTCACAACCATCTGTAGTGAGATCTGGTACGCTGGCAGAAGGTTGTATAAATAATAAATAAATAAATCTTTAAAAAAAAAATCATCCTTGAGCTCTGAAATGAAGGAATAAATAAAATAAAACAGCAATATAAAAAGAAAATACAGGCTGGAGAGATGGCTCAGAGGTTAGGAACACTGGCTGTTCTTCCTAAAGGTCCTGAGTTCAATTCCCAGAAACCACATGATGGCTCACAACCATCTGTAATGAGATCTGGCGCCCTCTCTGGCCTGCTGGCTCACATGCAGGTAGAAATAAATACTGTACAAATAATAAATAAATCTTTAAAAAAATAAATAAGAAGATGCTCAGGGTTAAGACCACTGGCCATTCTTGCAGAGGACCCAGGTTTGGTTCCCAGCACCCACATATTGGCTGACAAAACTTCTCTGGCTTCTGTGAGCATCATGTGTGTTGTGCATATACATACATTCAGGCAAAATACTCAACCCATAGAAAACAAAAACCCTTTTTAAAAAAGATAGATTCCCTGCAACTGGCCTTTGCTACTTTGTAGGTTCTTCATCTTCCACCCTTCTCCATCCCTCTTCTTCCCTTTCAACTTCCTAACACTAGATATGAGGGAGAAGAAAGGATAGAGAGGAAAGAATAGAGATCCCGAGTAAAGTCAGGCTACTTCCTGCTAATTGTGGGTGTTGAGCTCCTTGGGGAAGTTTGACTTTCGATGACAAGATATCTAATCTATTCTTGTTTCTTCTTTTTGCCGTGAGTACTTAACAAACCAAGGCCAACAGCAACCAACAACCCACCCCGCCTCTCATCTGTATCCCTCTCATCTATATCCCTCACATTTCCATACCCTCTGAAAAGTCCCCAGAAGCCAGCATCACACAGTTGCAGAAATGATCTGCAGCTGGAAAAATCACACTTCTGCTAGAGCACGGGACAAATCACAGCCAGCTGCTCCCCCCCGCCCCCAGCCCCACATCTGCGATTTAAAAAGCAGTGTCAGCTGAACCACCAGGGAGGGGCTGGGAATGTAGTTAACAAAGTAGAGGGCATGTGTGTGGGGTGTGTGGAAGTTTGCATGTACACACACAAGAGTGTGGAGGCTAAAGGTTGACACTCCATGTCTTCCTCAGACATTGGAGTGGGGTTCAGTTAGCCTAATAGCTTGTTCTGGGCCCCATGTCCACCTTCTGAGTGCTGAGGTCACAGGCAGATCACCATGCCCACTCCGATCCTCACACTTCCACAACAATCACTTTTCCCAGTGAGCCATCTCCCCAGCCCCGGGGATTGTTTGCTTTTTGTTTGGTTGGTTTGGTTTTTCCAGACAGGGTTTCTCTGTGTCGCCCTGGCTGTCCTGGAACTCCTGTAGACAAGGCTGGTCTCAAACTCACAAAAATCCACCTACCTCTGCCTCCAAGTGCTAGAACTAAAGACGTGTGCCATCGTCACCCAGCAGGATTTTCTTTTTTTATGTATATTTTTTATTTTTTATATTAATTACAGTTTATTTACTTTGTGTCCCAGCTGTAGCCCCCTCCTTCATTCCCTTCCAATCCCACCCTCCCTTCCTCATCTCCTCCTTGCCCCTCTCCAAGTCCACTTATAGGGGAGGTCCTCCTCCCCTTCCATCTGACAGATTTTTTTTTTCCAGAATTATTTATTATGTATACAGTGTTCTGTCTGCATGTGTGCCTGCACGCCAGAAGAGGGCACCAGATCTTATTATAGATGGTTGTGAGCCACTATGTGGTTGCTGGGAATTGAACTCAGGACCTTTGAAAGAACAGTCAGTGCCCTTAACCTCTGAGCCATCTCTCCCGCCCCAGGAAATTCTTTAAGATAAAAGAAATGGCTTTAAAGACAAAAAAAAATTTTCATTTTAAATCTTTGCTTAATCTTTGAGTGTTATGGGCTATAACTCACATCCTTCAAGCAATATTAACTCGGAAACCCCAGAATCATAGGCACAGGGCCGAGGGAGCTGGCGCGGTGTGTAAAGGGCTTACTGCATACAAGCGTGAGGGTCTTAAACAAAGG